CTTAGTTACTCTTTTGTCCTTAATGTATTTGTAGAATCCCTTTGGATTCTCCTTAACCCCATTTGCCAAAGTTATCTCATGTCCCCTTTTTGCCCTCCTGATCTCCCTCTTAAGTATATTCCTACTGCCTTTATACTCTTCTAGAGATTCATTCGATTCCTGCTGTCTATACTTGACATACGCTTCCTTCTTTATCTTGATCCCAAAATCTAAATTTCTTCGATAATCAACATTCCCTATACCTGTAGGACAACCCCAATAAGGTGATCATCCCTTATTTCTCTGTTCCGTCCAAATAACTTCCCTGGTTGTATTCCCAGGAATATCCTCCCTAAATACAGCTGTAATGTTATCTCTAATCAAAAATGCCACTCCCCGTCTTCTCTTGTCCCCCCCCACTTTTTCTATCCTTCCTGTAGCATCTATACCCTGGAACATTAAGCTGCCAGTCCTGTCCATCCCTGAGCCTTGTCTCTAATTGTTGTGATATCCCAGTCCCATGTTCCCAACCATGCCCTGAGTTCATCTGGTAGGCCTCTTGCATTAAAATAAATGTTGTTTAATTTATCAGTCATACCTTGTTCTCTGCTTTTTTTTTCCTGCTTTTTCCCAACTGTACCAGTCTCAGACTGATGTCTGTCCTCGCGATCTCCATCTATTCACCACCCCCCCCACCCATTCCCACCCCACTAGTTTTTCTCCCCAATCAGCTCTCTCAAATCTCCCCACCAGTGTATTCGTCCCCTTCCAATTAACATGCAATCTGTCCTTTTTATACAGGTCACTTCTACCCCAGAAGAGATTCTAGTGATCCAAAAATGTGAATCCTTCTCCCCTGAACCAGCTCCACATTCATCTGCTCTATCCTCCTATTCCTACCCTCACTAGCTCATGGCACAAGGAGTAATCCAGATATTACTACCCTCGGACTTCCTTTTTAAATTCTTGCCTAACTTCTTATGTTCTGCCCTCAGAATCTCATCCTTTTCTCTTCCTATGTCGTTAGCTCCAATGTGTGCAACGACCTCCTGCTGGTTCCTCTCCCCTTTGAGAATATTTTGCACCCTCTCCAAGATATCCTTGATCTTGACCCCAGGGAGGCAACATACAGCTTTGATGTCTTGCTTTTGGCCACAGAAGTGTCTGTTGGTGCCTATGACTAGAGAGTCCTGTACCACAATCGATTGCTTGGAACCTGACGTACCCCTCGTTATGTTAGAGCCAGTCTCGGTACTAGAAACTTTGCTGTCAGTGCTACGTTCCCCCAAGAGTCCATTACCCTCTACAGTTTCAAAAACAGCATAGTTGTTTGACATGGGGATAACCACAGGAGAACCCCGCACGACTAGCCTCCATTCCTGGAGGTAACCCATTTACCTGACTGTGTCATTGGTTTACCTCCCTTCCTGCAACTGCCATCCATCACACCACCTAGCTCCTATAGATTCCTCATTGTCTCTAACTGCCGCACCAACTGATCCATGCGATCCAATAGGATCTGCAACCACACTTCCTGCAGACATAATCGTCAGTAACATGGAATCTCTCCCTAATCTCCCACATCTGACAGGAAGAGCACATCACTCTACTAAAGGCCATCTTTGCACCTTAACAATCTACAGACCCAGAAAATAGCACAGTCTTGCTGCTCTAAAAACACTGTTCCAGGCTAACATAGTGCATATGTTTATATTTTTAAAGTTTATTCAAGAGACAGATCTCGATAAAGCATTTCATCAAGAAACAACCCACTCTACTTACTATTGTAGTTTTATGGGGGGCAGAAAACAGTAAGGTTACACTTTTAAAAAGCCACTTAGCTGCTCCCCTGCCGTGAGCTCTCCCACACAGGATTCTCCACAATCGGCTGTGAGTTTTGCTGTTTAAGTTTTCTTAGACAAACTCAGATATCCAGAGATACTCCAATCGAATGCCTGCGATTTAGAAAATGGGAGCATAGTATTTGAAGCTTCTCAAAATCCCATTCTCGAGAGTGATTGGGGTTGGACAAAAAATGCTGACCTTGCCAGCGATGTTCATGTCCAACAAAATAATTTTAAAATAGTTGAGTATATTGTCCATTTTAAAAAGTCTCATTTCCTAATTACAGTTGAAAACTCAATGATAAGTACAGCATTTTTAAAATCTAAAAATTATTTTAAATAGACAGATGACCGACTGGTATCGACCGATGGGTTCATGTTGAATTTTTTGTGGGTGCTGCAGCAACTGAGCACAAAGATCAAGCTAGAAACCGTTGACCCGATGTACATTTTCCACCCAAAGTGTCGCATCAACATACTATCTGATGAGACGCGTGTGAAAGCCTCTATGGAAGACATTAAAAGCTGGCTTTCTGAACTCAGTAAGTACATTTGATGTATTTAGTATGCAACTTTGTGTGTTGTTTTTTTTCTCCTGTAACTGTCTGTTGGAAGTAAGGTGATTATTTTAAACTGCGTTCTTTGGCTTAAATTGTTTTTAGAAACTTTACATATTTTCTTTTAAATCTCAATAGATGATCAGTCTAAGTTTGCTGAGCCAAAGTTCCCCACAGAATGCTTCTTCCTGACACTACATGCGCACCATCTTGCTATCTTGCCAAGTTGCCGCCGATATATAAGAAGACTGCGAGCTATTAGAGATCTAAACCGGTAGGAAGGGGTTGCAAAAATAGATTTACATTTTGGAAGGCCTTTCAAGGATCTTGATGGCGAAGTAGATAGTTTGGTAATCTATTAGTCTGCACTTGGAAGTTTATACACAAGAATATGTGATTTGAGAGAGACCAGTACAAGCTCATTTAGCACAGTTCCCATGTACAGGGATTGTACAGGCAACCTGAAACCATAAATGTGACACAATATTCTGCTAATAGTGTGTAATTATACTTGTTGATCTCCATTGTGTCAGTGAACTTTTCTTCCAGTTCAGTTAAAGTGTATATTGATGACTTTTTCTTTTCCCTTTTCCACAGGACTGTGGAGGAACTGAAAAACAGTGAAAGTCAGTGGAAGGATTCTCCATTGGCAAACAGACACAGGGAGATGTTGAAGCGATGCAAGACACAGTTGAAGGTGTGTAAGAATTATTGCAGGTAATGATACAATCGTGGCACCAATAGTGATATTATTTAGTGTCTTTGGATTCCACAGAAAGAAGTGATGGATCCATCTACTTTTTGCTGTTGCATCATAGCTGTAGAGGCTGATTTTACTTACTCGGCTGAATAATGCCAAGGGCATGGATTTGATTCTTGTTCTGGCTGATGTACTCTTGAAACCTGCCTCCTCTCCCTATAACTGAGAACAGAAAGCAATGGCAAACCACCACTGACAAAAACTGCCAAGAAAATGGCTCGGAATGAAGCCGCAGCACGTGTTGAGGCAAGGACCAGCCTTTGTACAGAGCACATGTGCTATGTTGTCATAACAATTAAGGACCCTTTGAAAGACACATCATATTTTACTCCTTTCCAATTATCGGAGTACTTTGAATTGGTAAAAATGATTTTCTCTTCACTTTGAAAAGACTATGCCCCCATTCCATCATCCACTGCCAACCTTGATGTTCATGATTTTCTTTCCAGAGGTCAAGTCCTGAGATGTGTGTGCATTGCACCCATAATGTTGAGTGGCATTTTGTAGGGCTTTGTTAGTGACTTCAGTCGTATAGAAAATCTATGTATTGAATACCATTTACCAATGATGGCACATACTATTAACTTGAATTTAGCATCAACTATTGTAGATTGAATTCAACTGTTAAAAATATGGTGTCTATTTCATGTTGGTTGTCAGTCCATTCATAACATTGCACAATAAAATTGTGTTTGTATTTTTGTAGCTAAATTAGCTTAGCAGTATTTCATGACCTTGTAAACTAAGTTATTATAAAGTTTGGAACATCTGTTGAAGAAATTCTTAAAAGTTGAGCCTGGTAAAAGAAGTTATTGATCGTCATTTAGAGTAACATTTAAGTGCAGTGGTGAGCTGTTTTGTGTAATGCAATCCCCTGTTTGTATTTTGTTGGTACTAAACAAGCCATCAATCTATGACTAGTCATGTTTATGGAACAAGCAGTTCCAAGAGTTGCTGGGTGGCAACATTCAGTTCTGCCCAGTAATAGGGGAAGGACTTATTGCGAGATTTTCATTAAGCCATTCGGGACAGTTTGGGAGTCACTGAAAAGAGTTTCAAAGGTTGTTTAGTTGAAGAAGACAGACGAGAATAGAACTAGTGATGCTGTTGACTGTGCTGCACATGGCAACCAAACTGCACAGATTTTGTGTAGTGAGGGCTGCAAAGTCTTACAGTAGTTGAATGGCTCTGTTTAGCGAGGGCTCGGGAAGACGTAATCTGTGGGAGCTCAGAAGAAGCTATGTGACGCTCATGATTCAGTACAGTGAGAGTGGGGGTTTAAAAGGCCAGAGACTCTCTTTGCTGGATGCAGTTGAACAAGATTCGAATTCAAAGAAAACCCAGGAGCAGTTTCAGCTTAGTGAACTGGCTGTCAATGAAGAGTTGAGCTTGTACTTGTGAATGTGCACTAGAGTGGGTGGAGGGGGAGGGCAGTAGAGAGGTAGTGGTTAGATGCAACAGAAAAAAGAAATTCTTCAGAATGGGAAGAGACATTTGAGGTAGCTTATGATGGAATGGCCCTTGAAGGGGAGTTTCAAGGCCTGATTGGCACAAGTGAAGAATTATAATCCTGTGTGAAGTTTAATGAGATTTGATGATCCATCAGTTGTTGAGTTGCTGAGACATCTGTGGGATCTGTCTTGATCACATTTGCTATTGGATGTTCAATCAGTCTGTTTACTCATTTACCTAGTTAATTCTTGACTGTTAGTTGTATTCTAGATTATATTACTGTTCTAATTTTGGATAGTAAAATTTACTGTTCAAAATCATGAAATCTTTTGCCTTCATCTTTAACCAAGTTCTCTGGCTCTCACTTTGCAACCTTTTTTTTAAAATAAAGTAGACATTGATGATCAGGCCCAAGATTGTACTAAGTGCTAAATGGCAGCACACAACATTAAAATACAATACATATTAATGCTGGTTTCTTGGAATCTTAACATTTTAATTCTGATTTTGTCCTATTTGTTGATATTAAAGATAAACCTGGGGTTAAGCCATTAAAATAGATTTAAAAGCTCCTTAAAGTGTGT